GGCCGGGGTGCCGCTGGAGGAGGGCCTGGGCCCGGACCAGGCGTCCAGAAGACAAGTAGCGGCGGAAGCGACGCTCTCGGCGCTGGCGGCGGGAAGCGGAGGCCATGGAACTCTTGGGCTAAGGAAGGAAAAAGGAGGCAGCAGTCAGGACCCTGGGCTTGGCTGGTCCGTCCCCTTCGCCCCGGACATTCCTCTTCCTCACAGTGGCCTCTCTCCAGCAAAAGATGAGGCCCACCCTAACCCTCATCCTTTACCAGAGGATAGGCTTGAAAACATTTTTTAATGGCTCTGGGGTCACAGATTTGGTAGTGTAAATTTTGAGAAAAGGATACATAATTGCTTTAAGTCTCAAGAGCCCAGGTCGATTTTTAATAATGGACTTTGAAAAAAAAGCAAAAGAGCCTGATGGGGAAATTTTTTGTCAGCACAAATCTGAATTTTAAAAAGTCGCAATTTCAAATAACGATCTAGAAATTGAATGTAATGTACCCGGGAGACAGACGTAGAGGCTTCTCCCCCTGGGACCTGGGGGGAGGGGTGACTCATCAGACCTGCCCCCCCGCCCCCCAAGTACCCCCAGAGCCGTAGGCCCCAAGCCCGCGTTTAGACTCTCGGACGAGGGAGGCGGGAAGGGCGGAGACACTCCAGGCTGAAGGAAACACGCAAACATAGATGCAAATTTAGGGCGGAAATGGACTGTAGGCGCATGACCGGATGTTGTTCCTCCCCGACCGGTTGGGTTTCTTAATTAGGCCTCCGGGAGGAAACCAAGGAGTTTGAAATATAGGGTCCGCTTCAAATATGATGAAAGGGGCAGAAAAAGGCAGGGGAGAAAGAAGGGTTTTTTGTTTGAGGTTTGAGGTTTGCCCAGGTCCTTCCCAACTAAGAGAAGAGAGAGGGAATGGTTTGAGTTGCGGGGAGCGAGGAGAGGGGGGCCGGGAGGGACCCACCCGGGTGCGGGCTGGGGGCCTTCCCTTGTGCCGTGTGTACGTGACCCGTCCAGAAAATAAGGTGGCAGAGGGCCAAGGGCCCCCAGGCAAGGACCACAACATCGGTGAATCTCAGAGAGTCTGGGAGATTTTTTCTTTCTGTAAGAGAACAGAGATGAAAGTATATTAAGAGGGAAAAAACTGAAAGTATATTAAGAGAAACATAGAACAGGGCAAGTGTGATGTATGTGGAACTTTGAACTTGGGAAACCTGTAGAATAAGAACTAGACAGACGAGAGATGAGAGGGAAGAATTAAGCCTAGCACAGCAGGATGTGGTGGTGCATGCCTCCCATGCCTGTAATCCCAGCAGTACGCTGAGGCAGGACGATTGCTGCGAATTTGAGGCCCGTCTGGGATACATAATGATCGAGGTCAGCCTGAACTGCATAGTGAGACCCTGCCTCAAAAACAAACAGACAAGAAAGAGAATCCTAACATAAATGCCTACACCTACTGAGTGCCAGAAGTTCAAAGGTGCTCCTGGCAGCAGCCTGACCCTCGGAGAGTTTACGGTCCTGAGGCAGGGGTTTGTTAAAGTTGTCAAGAATAAGGGCTACTTTGAGAGATACCAAGTCAAGTAGAGAAGGAGATGAGGGGACAAAACTGATTACTATGCTTGGATGAAAATATGTACAGTGTATCCAAATACAGGACAATGGTTCGTGCAACGAACAGCAATAGTATTTGTCAGATTTCTTACTCCTGTACACGAGCGGGTATGCCCGTGAACCGAGATGTGGGTGAAAGTTGGCCTGACAGATTATGCTGCAGCAGGCTGTACTGGCCTGCTGGCTCACCAGCTTCCCAAGGGTTTGGCACGGACAAGATCTATGAAGGCCCAAGTGGAGGTGGCTGGGGGTGGGTACAACGTGGGAAGCACTGATGGTCCACCTGGCGCCCTCGTCTGCTGTTTGGATGCCGACCTTGCCAGACGCACAACTGGCAGTAAAGGTTTTGGAGCCCTGGTGGGTGCTGTGAATGGAGGTTTGTCTCTCCCTCCCAGTGCCAGGTGGTTCCCTGGTTATAATTCTGAAAGCAGAGGAGGTCGAAGCAGAAGTAATTAGAAGCACGTCATGGGGCCACACATCACAGATTATATGCCTTACTCGAGGAAAAAGATGAAGACGCTTGAGGGAACAACTCTGTCAGTACAGAAAGAACAGTGCAGCTGCAGGGAGCAGAGGTATAAGAAAGCTTCTGCTGCTGTGCAACAGAACCCAGTGTATGAAGAGAAGTGGAAGAAAGAAGTTAAAAAGATGAAGGTCGAACTGTCCCAAAATGAGCAGCTCCAAAGAAGGCAGTCTTCCGCAGAGCTCTGCTGAGGTTAAACCAAACAACAGTTTTCTGTGAAGACTTTTCAGATAAGGACCAATAAGCGTATTCGTTAAGCAGTGAGAGACACGGAGGGTGTGTGTGGGTAGTGAAATACTTCTGTTTTCAGCATGGGAAGGCTGAGGCAGGGAGATCCTGTGTTTGAGGCCAGCCTGGGCTACATAGTGAGATGCTGGAGAGAGAAAGAGTGAACAAGCCCAGCATCCTTTTTTTTAGCACGCACCGCATGATGACATTTTCACCCCGTTCTCATCCCCTCTGTGTCAGCTACGCGACCACCAGTCAAGGCCTCATCTTCCACCCAAGAGCTCCTCTTCTCCGTGCTCCGCCTCCATCCCTGCAGCCCGAGCTGGAAGGGCTCCGTGCCTGGGGTAGCTGGCCGCTTACGGCCTGGTCTCTGCTGCCCCCAGGCGGCCCTTTCGGGTATTGCCTGGGCGAGAGGTGGGAGAGGAGCCCCAGAATGAGCGGCAGGATCGGATTGGGGGAGACACCCTGGGCAGGAGGCTGTGGGAAGAGGAGGGGAGCGCTAAGACCCAGCGTGGTAAAGGGCCGCAGCGGCGAGCTGGAGGAGGAGGACGGCGAGGAGAACGGGAAGCCGACGCGGGGTGGGAGCCGTCTGGTACCTCGGGCAGCTGCGCAACATCATCAGCCCCAAGGACGGAGATGGCCAGCCAGTCCCAGGGCATCCAGCAGCTCCTGCAAGCGGAGAAGCGGGCAGCGGAGAAGGTGGCAGATGCCAGGAAGAGTAAGTCCCCTCTCTCCTCCCACAGGAGCCTGGGAAGAAACTGGGGCTGAGCTTAGCAGCGTCGGGGTCCTTAGTAAAACCCCAGGCGGAGCGGGCGGCAGGCTGGAGCTCGTTGGACGAAAGAAACGGCGGCTGCCAGAATCCAGCGCCTGCCAGGCCCCAGGAAGGCTGGATAACTCTGCTGTCACCCCTGTGCCCCCATCTTCCCTCCAGGGAAGGCCCGGAGGCTGAAGCAGGCAAAGGAGGAGGCGCAGATGGAGGTGGAGCAGTACCGCCGAGAGCGGGAGCAGGAGTTCCAGAGCAAGCAGCAGGCCGTGAGTTGCGGGGAGTTGCGGGGAGCGAGGAGAGGGGGGCCGGGAGGGACCCACCCGGGTGCGGGCTGGGGGCCTTCCCTTGTGCCGTGTGTACGTGACCCGACCAGAAAATAAGGTGGCAGAGGGCCAAGGGCCCCCAGGCAAGGACCACAACATCGGTGAATCTCAGAGAGTCTGGGAGGTTTTTTCTTTCTGAGGCAGGACCTTGCTCTGCAGTTCAGGTTAAACTGGAGCTCTCTGTGTAGGCCAGGCTGCCCCTGAACTCACAGCGATCCTCCTGCCTCAGCCTCCCCAGTGCTGGGATTGCAGGCATAAGCCACCATGCCTGTCTCTGGGAGGGTTTTTGTTTTGTTTTGAGATAGGACCTCACTATGTAGTCCAGGCTGCTCTTGAACTTGCTTTGATAGGCCAGGCAGGGCATAAACTCGCAATCTTCCTGTCTGTTTCTTGAGTGCTGGCCATACAGGCATGTATTTGGCAGGTCTGCAAATTCTGAAGGAGATAGCATAGCTTGTGGTGGTGGGGGCAGAATTTTATGGTCGTGGGGAATGAGATAGTGGGGGTTTTACGGTCTGTTTCAGAGTAAGAGCTTGCATATCAGGTCTTAGAGGAAAGGAGATTATTGACAACTTTGGAATCTGGATTTTTCTGTGGGAAGGAGATAGTTTCTAAAAAAGGCTTTTCTTCATGGTCTTGCTCAGGACATTTTCCTCCCCAGCCCAGGGCATTTCTTTCTCTTCTCCTGCTTTTCCCTTTTTATTTTTGTTTTTCTTTTTGGTACCAGCGATCAAACTCAAGTCCTTGCTCTTGCGATGCAGGTGGCGGAACCACTGAGCTAAATCCCCAGCCCTGCTGCTTTTCCCTTTTCCTCCCTCGCCTCCTTCCTTGTCCTCCAGGCCATGGGCTCCCAGGGAAACCTGTCGGCTGAAGTGGAGCAGGCTACCTGGCGCCAGGTACAGGGCATGCGGAGCTCCCAGCAGAGGAATCGGGAGCGCGTCCTGGCCCAGCTTCTTGGCATGGTCTGCGATGTAAGGCCCCGGCTGCACCCCAACTTCCGGATCACTGCCTAGGACCCGGCACAGGGTCTGACTCCTCCTGCAAGCTTGCCCCCTCGAAGAAGTCTCCCAAACCTAAACGACTTCCCGTGCTTGGCATGTACAAGGCCCTGGGCTCAGTTCTCAGTACTGAAAAACTCATTTCCCACCATAATCGTTCCATTCTGTGGAAATACTGGGAATCAGGACCCAATATTCCTCTGTGATGTATAAATATCCCGGTCACGCTTGGATCTCTTTGTTCTTTAACCCTTCTGGAGTGGGCCGAGTTACCCTCACCTAACACTTGTGTAAATTTGTAGCATGGGGCCATAGGGCTGTGGAAGGCACCTGACTTGGGAGTCTGGAAGATTCGGGTTTCCCTCCCCAACCCTGCGCTTTCTGGCTGAGCAGCTAGGCCGCCCAACCGGGAGCCTCCGAGTTCTCCTTTGTGAAACTGGAATAGCGTGAGGATGGCACAGTGGTTAGGACTTGTTCTGTAAAGAGCCTGTCCTGGTTCCTGGGAGCAGCGGGGATTCGGTCAATGGGAAACTGAGACATTGTTATCACCCTCTGCCCACCTGCCAAAACCTAAACACTGGTGTTTCCCGATTTTCCTCAGAGGCTCTCCAGTTTTGTTCACTCTGTGACTCCAGTAATTCTCAGAAGAGTTTTCTTCCCACCTCCTTTCCCCCCGGAGACGTTATGGCCCTGGAAAGACAAAACGATGACCTCGCCTGGTCCCCCTGTTCCAGTTCCGGGCAGATGCTGCGTCTCTTGGCTTCTCCTTTCTCTCTTAAGCGGGCCTTATTGGGTTTCCTCCTTTTTCTGTTTCCCCCGACACCACCTGATGGTCCCTGGTCTCTGCATCTGAAGTGATGCTGTGTGCCCCATGTGCATGGCCTTCCTTTCTGTATTCTTAACACACTGTTCTTCCTTTGTAACAATAAAAAGCTGTCAATAAGATACCTGAGCAAATCCATTGGTGAGTTCAAGCAGCCTCTTTTGCCTCCTCATTTCTTATTTTCACTCACTCTCATGCTGTTTATACATCCTCTGAACGCTGCAGGACTGTCCTTCAAAATTCATTGGGGGAAACAAAAGCAAATAACGCTTTACTGGTTTTCTCAAGTTAGAAACGTAGTTTCTTGTTTGGGAACCTGAGGGCTACTTCTTAGTTACTTTTCTCATTGCTGGGACAAAATACCCAATGCCCAGAGTTAGAGGAGCCAAGGTTTTATTGTAGCTTAGTTTGTAGAGGGTTCTGTCCACAGTCGGCCGGCTCCAAGGCAGGGTGGCCCGGCAGAGGGGCATCACAGAGGAGAAACAGTGCATGGCAGAGCAGGGCAGGCAGGAGACGGCAAGCAGCAAGCAGTGGCAGCAGCCCTCCTTGCGTCTCTTATGTCCCATTCAGGCTACCTGGCGTTAGAGCGGGTGGCACTCACACCGGGCTGGGCACCCTCATCTCACCATCCAACCATCAATTCCGGCATCACACACCCTAGATACAGCCACCTCCAGAAAGCTTCTCCTATGATTACGTGGGGCTTTTTTGTTGGGGGTGGATCCAGATACAAGCCATTCTAACTACAAAGGACACATTTTTTAAAATGCTAGAACAAGCACTCTTTGTTTTGTTTTGCTTTGAAATTTGACATTATGTGTTCTCTCCTGTTACATAAACTAGGGGATAAAGCTGTTCACTGCTCGTCCCTAGGTCCTAGGATAGCCCTTAGCATAAGTTAGGCCGCCGATAAGCACTATGGAATAACTTAGGTGATATGTAGGGCTGGGAAAACTGTTCTTTTATGACTCAGCCTTTGGGTTAGTTATTTCTCTTCACCACCGAAGACAGCTTGCTTCCGCAAAAACTTGAACCAAGGAGGTAACCCATAGTGTGTATTAACCAGATTCTGTAAGCGGGGAGGCAACACAGAATCAAAACTGTTTACCCCCTGACTGCCACATTACTAGTTGTATTGCTTTGGACATGTTGTTTTACTTCTCCAGATCTATTTGCTTTTTCTATTTTCTATTTTATTTTGCTTTTTTCTATTTGCTATTTTCTGTTTTTCTAAAACACGGAAACGAAGGTTAAGTGATTAGTGTGCTAACAGAGAAAGGGCCAAACGCGTCAGGTTTACACAGCTGACTTCTGTAGCACCGCAAAGGGGAGGTATACCAAATGTTTCACTCACGAAAAAATCCGGGACTGCTGCGGCGGGGCTAAAGGACCTGGCTCCAGTTAACAGCATTTGTGGAAAGCTGTGCAATCCCCAAGCCTTATCACTTAGTTTTAACACTTCAGGCAGCGTCTAGGCGCTGTTTCCCACTCAGATCCGCATTTCTCACAGCCCATACGCATTAATCTACGGGCCAATTTAATTCTGAGCGAATGGTGCTGGGCGGGACTCCTAATCGAATCTCCAGTTTCCAGACACCTGCCTACTCCGCTATCTCACCTGGGTCCAGACGTTTCTCTGCGCATGCCCAGCGGTCCTCGGGTCACCTTGACTACCGCGACAAGGACCCCGTGGGAACTCGCAGGGTCCCCCGCTTCTCAGCCGTTTTTGGCGCGCCCACGGAGGGGTGCCCAGAGAGAACACCTGTGGGGCAGAAACCTAAATGAAGAAATGAGCGGAGTGGAAAAGAGAGTAGGACAAAGAAACACGTTATCACATTGGGTTGTCACCTTTATGTCTTTTGTTATTGGAAGAGCGGAGGAGTTAAAAGTGGCTTTAACTTTTCTGACAGGCATTTTCCAAAGGTAACCCCATGGCGCGCGGGACTACAGACTCGCAGAAGGACCTTTTTCGGGCACCCTGCGCTTGCGCTGTGGCAGGCGAGAAGGCGGGAGGCCGTGGGTTGAGCAAAGCCTGGAACCGGAAGTGAAGGCCGATTCCGTCCTTCGTCGCTGTTGCTGCCGCCATACGCGTTTTCCCTGCTCAGGTAAGCTTTGGCCTTCGCTGCCATCCGCCTCCATCTGCGGTTCTCCCTGGTCATCCTGCCACACGGGTTCCTGATATCCCTTGCGCAGGCGATAGTCTGGTCGCTGGGGTTTAGTTGGGTAGTTATTTTCATTGCTTTCATCTTTTTCTAGAGCAGAGAGCTCTTGGGAAGCGGTGAAGAAAGGGGTCCAAATCCAAGATGGTGGCATCAGCGCCATTGTGTTCCCTTTGCTCCTGGCCTTTTGAGTGGGTCACTCGTCACCCGAGGCCCGGGCGACGAGGAGAGGCGGCGCTAGGTGTCCCTGGTCTTGGATGTTTGTGGAGGGCGGGGCTCTTGTCGCCGTCCCCCCGGCCTGCTCTGGCCCCGGGGTGGCGCGAGGAAGAGCCCGCCTGTGGGGCCAGCTGGACCTCTCGCCTCGATTTACCCGCTCGTATTGAAACTGTTTCTAAATGTTTGCGAGTGGTGTCATTGTTTCTCGAGAAGATACATTTATCACCGCAGGAGCCGTAGCGTAACGTGAGAGAGACCACTGGCGAAACATTGTTAAAAGCTGGCGCGGGGATACTGTAGCTGCACCTTTTGTTGAACCGTCGCTTCACCGTGACGTGGTTTCTTTTTTTGTACTATACTTTGTTACTAGTTTGTGCGGTGCTGGGCACACCAGGCGAACGCTCCTCCTGGCTGCACTCCCGACCCCCTTTGTTTTCTGTTCGCCGCTGAGCCCTTTCCTACCGCGGCTCCCTGCTCTGGATCACACAGGGCTTCTTAAGCAGCGGGAGAAGGGGTAGTGAGGAGGGGGAGGTGAATGGCGGCCACATGATGCTTTTATTTTGAGAAGTGAGCGCTTTGCGCAGTGCTGACCTTAATCTATCACCCTTGACTGATGGCTGCTCTGTTGGGATCGACGCCGAGGCGATAGGGAAAGCGCAGGATCTTCCCGTGAGGATGTGAAAGGACTTGGCATTTCCATTTTCCGCTTTCCTGTGTCATTGATCTTGTTCACCTTTTCGTGATATTCATTTTTCACTGTTGCTGTGTGCGAATTCAGTATTTTTTAGTGTCTTCATACTAAGTGGTTCCTGCTACTGTGAGACAAAATCTTGCTGGGAAACCATGTCCTCCGAAGCCACCTTCTGCATTTTTCTATTCCATTTGCTTTTTATTTGTTCGTTTTGCTTCTCTTTGCACCTTTTCTTTCAGGTATAGAGGGTTTGTAGTTGAGGGAGAGTAGGAAGAGTGTGGGAATGGAAAAGTGATGAAAGTCTGCCCCTGACTCATACGGTCTGTTCTGTTCTGTTTTGTTTTCCTAGCTCTTCTGTCAGAAGTATTTTTTTTTTCCTTTGCTTTCCTGGAGCCCTTTCTCGTCCCCCTTGTTTTCCCCCTCTTCCGGGAGAGCTCCCCCGAGACCCCTCCCCTTCTCCCTCTGCCCTCTGCCCCTCTGCCGGCCCAGTTATGGCAGAGAATGATGTGGACAATGAGCTCTTGGACTATGAAGACGACGAGGTGGAGACAGCGGCTGGGGGAGACGGGGCTGAGGCCCCTGCCAAGAAGGATGTCAAGGGCTCCTACGTCTCCATCCATAGCTCTGGCTTTCGTGACTTTCTGCTCAAGCCAGAGCTGCTCCGGGCCATTGTTGACTGTGGCTTTGAGCATCCCTCCGAAGGTAAATTCCCTGTTGTGCAAGAGTACTGTTAGGCTCTTCAGGGGATACGCGAGAAAGGTGGTTCTTCAGATGGTAGAGATTTATACTTAGAATAGTACAGGTCAAAAGTACCAAAAACTGTCTGGATAACGGAGGAGGCTCGTGTAGTCTCGTCTTTCACGTCTGCACAAAAGTGCTGGTAATCCAGAAACAACTTAGAGGACTTCTGTTTTGCCCAGCTTTTTTCTTTCTTTTCTTTGTTTTTGTACGAGGGATCGAACTCAGGTCCTTGCACTGTCGAGGCAGGTGCCGGAACCACTGAGCTAAATCCTGGGACCCTTGTTTGCTTGTTTTTAACTTTGTGATTTTGCCTGTTGAGTTTCCAGTAAGGGCGTAGACAAGCCTTTAGTTTTCCTCTTTCGGGCCAAGCCAACCCTGTTCTCTGGAAACTTGCTTGACTGGTCTAAAGATGGCTGGCTTTTGGGTCAGGTACCAAGTGCTTCGTTTTGTTCAAGGTTGCAGGGTTACGTGACCCAAAGCATGGCAACCTAAGTAGGAGAGATGGCCTGTGGCAGGCATTCAAATGTCACGGATTGTTACAGTTTAAGAAAAATAAGGACAGAGCCAGGAGCACTGCAGGTGAGCTGTTGGGAGGTGCAAGAGGGTCTTCAGCAGCACCGGGGAGGTCTGGACCTGGAGGAAGTGAGAGCAGGAAGGAGCTAGGAGGGTTTGATTTGGGGAGTAAGGTGGGAAAGGAAGAGAGAGGAACAAAGGGCCTGACAGTTTGCAAGAACCAGGTAAATACTTGGAGAGCTGAGTGGGAAGAAATGAGTTGGTGTGGTGCGAAAGGCGAAGTTATCTGGAGAAAGGTCTTAACTTTTTGCTTGTTTTCTTTTTCTTACAGTCCAGCATGAATGCATCCCTCAGGCCATTCTAGGAATGGATGTCCTGTGTCAGGCCAAATCAGGCATGGGGAAGACGGCAGTGTTTGTCTTGGCCACGCTGCAGCAGCTGGAGCCGGTTACCGGGCAGGTGTGCTTGGGGAGAGTCTGGGGAGGGCGTCTCGGGTAGGGCTGTAGGAAGGGTTTCAGAGTTACGAGTGCTACCGCTTGACAGCTAGGAGGAGCATTCTCTATGAAGCACTCAGAGCTGAAGGCATTTATGGTCTTCCTGGTATGCTTTTGGGGCAGTCACCTCCCCTGAGGGAACAACGAAGGTGTGTACCTACTGTGTGATCATCTCCACCTGCTTCACCCCAAGGTGTCTGTGCTGGTGATGTGTCACACCAGGGAGTTGGCTTTTCAGATCAGCAAGGAGTATGAACGCTTCTCCAAATACATGCCCAATGTCAAGGTAAGCCAGGCTGAAGAAACGGGGGCGATGGAGGGTGCGGGGAGCTGCGGGC